ATAAGTGTAAGGCTACTTGTTTTCTCTGCCGTTTGACTTGGGCAGGTGGTGTTTTGTGTAGTGTGCGTTAAAAAGAAAAAACGTAAAGGCAATGACAAAAATGAGGTTCGACTACCCTGCAGCAAACAAAATGTTGCTGTTCAGCTTTCCTTGTTTTTCCGAACTGGTTTGCAGAGCAACCATCACAGGCATGATATCACACTGTTCATCAGACTAAATCCCCATATATTGGAGGGAAAAGGCCTTGTGATTTTCTGCACGGCCATCTGATTGTTTTTCAATCATGTGTTCTTGTGTGCCAGCGGGTTTGGCTGAACCTCCATTTTCAGGGACCTTTTTGCCTGAGAGATCAACTGCACGCTGAGACTATCCCACATGATGTTGGATAGTATTTATATATAGTTCCCGATAGTTCTTCTATCTCCATGATTTCAACCAATAACCCTCATGGTTGGCTATGTTGCAAGAGCATGTGATAATGGTCCATGAACAGAGTTTCGATCAACGCCTCAGGCCGTTTATGTTGTATCGATGGATCGATTGCTTGGGGCTGCGTCGTGAGGAGATTCCTGCCGAAAACGTGTGCTCCACTGGAAACGACATGTCCAGAGCTGTCCCATGGTGTTTTGGAGAGGCAGTCCCTGGACTTTTGGGGGAGTGCATGCAATTCTTTCTTCGAACCGAAGAAGAGCTCGTATAACCGTCCAGTGTTCCGAAGGGCGAAGCCGTCGTTGGCTGTTGGTCCGAACGCCTTCGTGGTGGGAGAGAATTGCAGCGATCGTTTCGGTTTTTGAATTTGGTGGTTGGGATTCACCCAGACCCCACGGCTTCGCGAACCGTGGAATTTGGCCTCCAGTGGACGCCACGTCAGACGTGGAAGTGAAACAGAAAGGAGGATTCCAGACTCGGAGTAGATGGCACCCCCCAATTGATATGCTTCTCAGCTCTGATCAATTCCGCTTCTTGGGCGGTTTCCATGGTTGAACTTGGCGCGTCAAGACTGGGCCTCCACTCGAGCGAATGTTCTTTCTTTTGCAGGGTACGCAGGTTTGATCCATGTTCGGTGCGTCAGTGGCAAATACTCACTGACAGCGGAAGGGTCAGGTGCAGTTCTTTTGAGACTTGAGATAGAAGTGGAAGCGTTTCTGCAGGCCTCCTGAGAAAGGAAGATGTCCCAAAGGAGCTGCATTCTCAAAGCGGTACCTCTTGGCTGGTGTTTGAAAGGCATGCATGCGGTTTTGCGCCTACGGCCAGCCTGAATGTTCTAACTTGTTTCGCAGGTCCTATTGAACCTTCTCGGGGCAGGCTGCCACAGGTGTGTGACTTTGCCAAAATGGCAGCATGCACTGCCCGTCTCGACTGGAGACGGGACGTCCTGTGCTGAGTGTGAGCCAAAGAATCGCATCACCAGCAGAATAAGGGGCCATGGTCGAAACCCCTGACTATCCGGATGATTCTTTAGTTCCCTGTCCATCACAGCGATCACAGCGTTTCAACAAAGCTTTAATCGAAGCGTCGGACGATGTCGCCCAGAAAGGAGAGACAGAACGAGTTTCGCGCCAACGTCTGTGTGTGCACACACACTCTCTCTCTCTCTCTCTCTCTGGCTTTTGTGGTTGAGTTGGTTGGGTTACGTTGGGTTGTACCTTCCCACAAACGATGAAGCTCATCTCCCGACCAACGGCGTAAAGAACTCGACTTGTTGATCTGGGGGAGAGAGTTGTCTCTCGTCGGTCAGAGCAGCGGAAAAGAGCATTCTTGTTGAGAGTCTTTGACTTTTAGGGACCAAATATACCTGGAACCTGAATGACCTCCATTTTGGACCACTAACCACCCAAAATATGCATGGTCTTTTCAAATTTACACATGTCAAAAGGTCATGTTTGGGTTGCACAGGTAAAAAAACATTCTTGCGAAGGCTGTGCCAGTTTTAGCAACAGGTACGTCGATGCCCCAAGACTGGATGAAGATTGACCTCCCTAGCCCGGAGTCTTTATGTGTTGGAGGTTGGTCTTCTTCCCACAAGAAAGCACAGAAATCGAAAGGATTGGAATGCGGCTCAAACAAGTGTCCAAAGAGCCACCATGAACGCCTTTTGTAATCAATATTGGTATAGTAGGCCCCCCCAGTACTCCCCCAAAAGAAGAAACACAAGATCGAAGAACTGAAGAACTTGGATGAACTTGGATCTTTGAACCCGTTCAGCCACCAGAGCGCCCAACCCGCCAACCGTCACCCCCTCTCCCCAAAGCGATCGGGTCAGGCACTCCGCGGCGTCATGGAGGATTATGCGCCACCAGAGAGGCAACCGATCTCGGTCGTTGCGGTCGGGACGCCCTGACGTCGGCCGATGCCGAACGGCTGGCCGAACGGCTGGCCGAGTCGAAGCGGTCGGGAAGCACGGGCGCCCTCTCAACGGGGACCAAGATCTTGTTGACCCTAGTGGCGCATTCAGTGGCGCATTCAGTATAATTCGTTGGTTTCCAGCCTTTGGGGGGGGGACTTTCGTTTCCAGACCTGGAAAAAAGCCCCAAAGGCTTCAGGGGAACTGAAACAGGTCGCCATTGCCGACCCCGAACCCGCCTCCCACGTCCCCAGCCGCCTCCGCCTCCGCGCCTCGCCCGCGCCGAGGATGAGGTGTTGCAGAGCGAGGTCGGCACCGAGGTGGGCAGTGGGGCGAACAGCGAGGCGGGGGGCTGCGTATCGCACTGGAGTGGACGCTTTCAGTTGCTTTCGACGCTGCGCCCTTGAAGGAAACACGGGGGGAGTCATGGGGATATATGCCCAGACATGACACATTGAATACCTACATTGGGGTGGTTTGAGGGGTCAATGTAGGCATATATGGCATACATGGAGTGTTTGGGATGGGGATAGCATTTGGACCCAGCAAGACATCCTGACCCGGAGCTAGACATACGCGCCACGTGCACCCTGAGGAGGCTCCTCATCCCCGCGTAAGGAAATATCGATGTTGGCATAAAACATCATCTAAACCATCAAGTGAACCAAAACGCCAGATTGGACAGTTCGTCCTTTTCTGAAGCTTCCCCCCTTATACATCTTATACTCAAGACTTGCCAGCTGTCCGCCGCAGGTCAAAGAGCCAACGAACGAACCCAGCCCCTTGGAGCACCCGACCCGGAGACCGACTCGCGTCGCGAGTCTGCTGGTGCGAGTCAGCGTGGGCGTGGGCGCCATGTATGTTTGAAACCACAGTGTTCTTGATTGAGTTCACAAGAGAACGACACATGTTTTTTTAGTGTTATAGGTGCATGCATGTGGTGTATAGTTTATTCTGCCAGTCTTTGATTCAAAAGTTGCAGAGATGATTCGTATAAGCATACTACATCATATTACATCATATTACCTTGGATTGGTTCTTGGATTGCAGTTTCTCTCATTTTTGCCACACTATCGCGTGTCTCTTTATAAGCTTTGCTCCATGCATCGTGCAAAGCTTTGAAACGCATCAAGACCCTCCAACATTGGAATCCGTGCATCTATGGCTCTATGGATTCCGCTGCTTATGGATCCACCACACTCCATGCCACAGTGAGACTGCCATGGGACTGCCGATCCATACCCCTTTTCAATCAACAACTCCAACATAACGGCCGCTGCTCGGCCGTCCGATGGCAGTCACCGGTCGTGTGTGGCGCTCGCCTAAGGCCGCCGGGCCGAGCAGGCGATCAACGACGCAGCGGAGCGGCTCGCAGGCTCCGGGCATGGGAAGTCCTGGGGGACGGTAAGAAAGAGAAGGTGAACTTAGTGAGCTGAGCTCATTGGCTATAGGTGAGTCAGCGAGACATTGGAAGACGGGATTTGGAGTGGGGAAATGTTTTGAAGCGAAGGAATTGGGGATGACCCCTTTCATTTTGGATTCTTTGAAGTATAGCAGATCTTTTTTTGTTGTTGTTGTGGATCGTGGCCAATGTGTCAACACCCTAAAAACCTCCTTCTCTACCAACCAACTATATAATAGTTGTTGTTTGCTTGATTTTCTCTTGTTGCTTTGGCCCCTTTCTCCATCGTCAACAATAGCCCATGAGTTGAAACTCCAGAGCCATCCACTGCCAGATTCTTTTGAGCTCAAGGGATGGATCCAGTGGCTGAAGTTCCAGTTGACTCATGTTGACTCATCGAGTTGTCGTCTCCAATTTCGCATCACATTTGGATTGAGCAGATGACTCCAAAGGGGGGGGGAGTCAGAGATCTTCTTAGAACCCTCAAAACCGGAACCTGCACCGCTTCACCGAAACCGAACGGACCGCGAGGCTCCGGGGGACGTGAGGACAGCGAGGACGGGACCGACGGCAGCGAAGGGAAAACGGGTAAAGCATGTGCGTTTGAGGTTGTTTTTTCGGGCAAAGCATGTGTATTGTTTGTGACTGGTATACTGACTGGTATAGTATACTGGGTCATTCCCTGGAGGTTGCCACGGAGGGGCACTGTCACACCTGGGTCTCTACTTCGGCAATTGAAGAATTGACCATTTTTCACAGACTCAGATTATACCAGGACCCTCCGACCCTCGGGGTGTCCTGGCTGAACTACCCCACACTACGAGCCTATATAGGCTTCCAAACAGGGCACCCCTCGGTGTCGGGACGAACAAACGACGCCTTCTTTCAGCATTGGTGTGCCAGGGCCGGTTCGAACCGGTGTGCCATGAAGGGATTCTCTGGAGTGGCCGGTGAACACCACGTTTGGGCCAATAGCAATGCTGGTATGCTGGTGATGCTCCCGCTTTCAGGTAGTTTGTTTTGACCCATTCCGGACTTGATCAATATGGCATAGTTCCACTGATTAATTGGTATGAACAAAAACGGGCGGGACGCGGGGACACGAACAGAACCACCTACCACGCAGGGCAAGCTACAACCTGCACAGCCAATTGCCCAAACCTCCGCTCGATCTGGCGGCTCTTTTCGCTTTCAACGACCAGGACCAGTCCACAGCGGATGGCACAGATCAGAGCGTCGCTGGATGGCAGTGGCCGGATGGAGCTCTGTTGAGCGCCTGCAAAGTGGCCCCCCCTAAAGAACCAAAGAAGCGTTATTTCTGTGCTGGAAAACATGGAATCCACTAACCGCGGCTTGACAGTGACGCCATCGTGAATATAGGATATCAAGTGTTTTTCTTTTTTCTTTGCACTTGTCCTTGACTGATACAGTGATGAGGAGCCTTCAGGTACATCGTGGGTACTTGGATTCACTAGGTGTTCGAAGTTTTGGGCAGATAGCCTCGAAGCACCAGTGCTTCTATTCCAGGATGCTTCGTGGATGTGACAGAAAGCGCCCACCCCCCCCAAGAAAAAACTACCGTGAAGCTCAGTTCCCCCACCGTTTTGAAGCTCCATGCGTTGCCGGCCTTGTTTTTATTCCCCACCTGTCAGGTCAGGTGAAGGTTGTTAGTTTTTTATGTCAGCTGCCTTAGTTTCTCCGCCGGACGTCAACCGCCTCCGGACGGCACTGTTGATCGCCGGACCTCAACCGTGAGTCAGAAAATATGCCAGATAGAATGCCGGAAAGAATATCATGTGCCAGATAGAATGTCAGAAGATATGCCAAAAAGCATGTCAGAAGAGATGTCAGAAAGAATTATCAGAAAGTATACCGGGTATACTGGAAATAGTGTCAGAAAGTATGCCAGAAGTAATTTCAGAAGATATGCCAGAAAACATGTCAGAAATAATGTAGAAGATTGGCCAGAAAGAATGCCAAAATAATGATTCAATACGTGCCATAAAAACATGTCAGATTGAAATGTCATGGTGGAGACCACTCGAAGTAAAGTAATGTCTTCCGACATTGGGAGGTTGACTTCACTCGGTGACTTTGCATCAACTGGATTTTGTGCTTTTGTATCATCACACCTGGCAAGAAACTTCAGCCCAGGCCGAAGAAGCTTCAGCCCAGACCGAGGCACCCAATGAGGCTGAGGCGCTCCGCAGTGTTGAAGCCAGGTGCTGTAATTTGTTTGAAACAATGTTTCAAGTAGTGGGAATCTTGAGGCATGGAATTCCGCTCTGCAGGCCTTTTTACTTCTTCAACTTATTGCATCATCATTTTCCCATCCAACCTGCTGAACATGCTTGATTTCTTCAAAATTAAACTAATTCTCCATATCTTCATTCGCTGACAGGATCCGGCCGCACGAACTCGCTCCAACCAACTCTGACCCATTTGGAACTGTTCTTTGAACCGACCAATCCTGCACCACGTCACGTTTCAAACGCACGCGACGGAACACACGCTGGTGACGCAGACAGTGATCACCGAGACGAACAGCAGTGACGAGGCGAGGTGCCGTTCGCACCAGGTGACCGGCGGTGAAACGGAGAATTGGAGGTGCCGTTCGTGTTGGAGGTGAACGGATTTCAAGAAGGGTTTAGGGCTAACGGATGCTAACGGTTTCAAATGGTTTCAATGTGGATCGCGAAGGTGTATATTATTTAATATATCCCAGACACTCCATGCATGTATGCCACATATGCCTACATTGACTCCCAAACCACCCCAATGTAGGTATATATGGCAGTCCCATGGAGTGTCTGGGATGTGATTGGATATCATCCGCATATCAATATCCCATCACATCCCATCACATATGATCACTCAGCTCGGTTGAGTTCTGGGAATGTTTAAACTCACGTCTGACAATCTAGACAAAGAAACTGCAGAATGTTATAGCTCACCATTTGCCAAACTCTCCCTGTGCCCCACGTTTGATTGGCCTTGTCACCTGCAGCACGTCGCTTGGCATTCGCCCTTTTCACTTCTTGGCATCTTTAAATTTGGCCAAGGCATCGATGAACTTCCTATCTTTGATCGGCTTCCAAGAGAGGTTAACTGGCCATCAATAGGACCCGTCACCTGTATTACCCAACTGGGATAGTCGAACGACTCGGGTTCAGAACAACCTCTGCTTCAGACGCGACGCGCTGCTTGATGCCGTTCGGAGGTTTCGGAAGTCGGTTGGAATAAAGAGACACAGAGTCTGATTGGTTGTGAGACACTGACTGAGTTCACCATTAGCTGCAGATGGGTTCCCCCCCCCAAAAAAAAAGATTCACTGCAGGTTATAGTGAGATTTACCTATACTTAGTCATGATCAACCAGTTGATGGAGATCACTCAAGATCCAAAGATCTAGATCATACCCATGGGCCCCCCCGTGGCCAGCCGTGGCCATCCGCTAGGTCAACGTAACGGGAAGCGAAGATGTGGCGCTGAAGAGTTCCGAGGTGGTCTCTGATGAGGCGAAGCAAAAGTCGTGGACTGGGTCGACTTGAGAGTTCCTCTAAACATAATACCTCAGATATTTCTGTGCTACCGAAGCACTTGTACACGTTCCGTCCCGCTTTTTGGCTTGCAGTTCCCCAAAAACGGTTGGACCGGTCGTGAAACCTCCGACCGGCCTCCCTCAAGGCCCAGCTGACCCCGTGGTCGACCGGAGTGGACCGTGTTTTTCGCTTCATACGGCGGATGGACACGGCGGATTCGCCAGGATTCCACTGCTGCAGAGACCATGCAAAAGGCCACGAAGAAGACGAATCACCGGACTCGACTCAAGTTTTTGGTTCCGAAAAAGCTTGTGGGTTGGATGTTATTCTATATGTGTGAAGTGTGTGTCAGATCCAGAGGCCGTACCGAGTACAAGCATGGGCTTTCAGACAGCTCAAGTGTTTTGACTTGACTTGAATCAGAATATTATACTCGTACAATCATAGAATTATGTTTTCATTATTAATTGTCATTGACAAACCAAATTCACGTCTTCTCCCCCCACCTCCTTTTGGGAGACCACAGACCTCATTTGGGACGAGCGGGCCGCTCCGGGGTGCAAGCGCCTGGAGAAACCCATGGACCCTCAGATCCGCATCCTCACCCCCAAATTCGGATCAAAGCAATCGAGATGATGAGCTGGATCTGTCATTGGCAAATCCCTTCAGGATGAGGGCTCAAAGATTGTTTTTGAACCCCACATCACCCGGCGTGGACGCCAAAGTCCGTGGACATCCATCATGAATCCTCCATTCAACCGTTCCGTGCTGATTTCCGAAGGACAGCGGTGCGAAAGTCTTCACATGTCTCCACCGATTCCGAAACAAACCTGCACATCATTCGCTTCACTGGTTTCGGTTTCGCTTGCACCTCATGTCCTTGGCAAACGCCTGGGATCACCATGCACCAGTGTCCACTCCTCAACGTTCGCCCGTTCCATCACATCCCGGACGTCCGCTTTATGCTCCAATCGGAAAGGACTTCGGTGTCGCTCGCTCTGGCATGGACCGGTCAGCGTCTCCGTCTCCGTCCAGTCTCTGTGCACGGTCGTTTTTGCGTCTGCTCCGGAGGCTAAAGATGTGAAGGCACAGCAGTCCGGACAGTGGCGGACACCCAGACACCATCCCCGCGGGGACAGAGGTGGGGACCGGTTCGCAAAGGGTGCGCACCGGTGCTGAAGATGCATTTAGTGCTTTGGACGATGATCGCCATTTCTTGAACCGGACCCTTCATGATTGGTTTGAATAGCATGTTTAGCCGAAAAGACGCAGGCAACTGCATACCAGCTGTGTATAAGACATGTCAAGATTTTTAACCCAAACACTTCATGTCATGTGACTGGCATAGATATCCCAGCCCAATGACCCCAGCCCAATGTAAGAGTAAATACGGGTCTTTGGGTTTAAATGTATGTAGAGGGACCCTTTTTAAAGGCCGTCGTCACTATAGCCCCGCCCCTTTGTTCGTTCGCATGCAACTCACCGGGAACCGAGGAGGCCGAACAGCTCCAGCGCGCTCCTCTCTCGCTACGCCGTGTTTGGCGCGGTGATGCTGAGGCCTTTTGCCGTGCACAGTAGTCACCAGGCGGTACACAGCCATGGCCCAGTCAAGGCTGAAGGCAGCGCGCGCGGACTGGGCGCGGTCGGCTGGCGGGCTGGATCTCGCGGGCGATTTTCGGACGAAACACAAAGATGGGTTAGGTAGATTGGGTTCGGAACACACCGACGGTTACAGGGGGTTCACTCAAATCTGTCTATTCAAGTCCAGGTATTAGTTTTCAATTCCAGATCTAGATAGTCGACTCGTTTTTTATGAGTTTCTTTGTCGCGTGAAGAGCCGAATCAGAGCCGCTAGCGATCAAGTCTGACGACTGCTTGGACCAAGGTCGACTGCTCGTCCCTGAAGGTAGATATGTATTTAGAAAACCAAGTGCATGGGGGTTCACCCATGGTGATCTCCAGGCTACAGGGGGTGACGTGATTTCCTTCATGTTGCCGAGATCGTTCAGCGGGGAGGGCTGAAGCGGTTTCGTTGCTTGGCATTTGTGTTTGGAGGGTTTGATTTGGAGGTCAATCGCCATGCTTTTCCAAGAGTGTTTGGAGGGCAGTGAAGCTGGTGACGACTGATTGATTTCTCCACAGACCTTATCCATTGAGGACGGAAATTCATGTTCATCATCTTGCCAGCCATTTGGCCCATGAGAGTGTCTTAGATATGCTGAAGAGGTGCCTTTGCAAAAGCCCCGAAAAGCAGAAAGAATGATGAGGACACTGATGGCACAAAAAGCTTGTCTAGCGTGCAGGTTGTTGCTCACGTTTGCATATTATCTATTTTTTTTCTGACCATTTGTTTGACCCGTCACTGTTCTCGATCACAATTGCAAATGGAGTCTAACACAATAATATGCACCTTCATTTGATGAGTGTCACATGTGACAGCACATGCATACTCACTCCATTTTCACGAAACCCAATTCCATCCTCCACTGGACGACCGGCTGCGCCGCGCGCCGCCGCGCGCCGAGCGGGGCCCGCCGACGCGCCGCCGCCGATGGAAGTGGCACCGCCGCCGCACACGCCGATCTTGTACGTGGCGCCCTTGCTGGCCTTCGGCCTGTGCCTCGGCCGGAGGGCGGTACCGGAAGGAGGGGACCGGTCGAGCACTGACCGCGGCGCAATGAGCTTTACTGCCCCCCCTTTATAGTAATTACAGTGGTTTCAGATGGTTTCAACTCCCAGAGAGGTCTTTATTTATTTGCCATCTAATTGCTCTGAAGTCACTCCACATGTGCTGATCTATAGTCCCACCAGTGCGGACATGTTGCTGTAAACACTCTCAGTTCGTTGGTCCCAAAATAGCATGACATGACCAAAAGGAACACTTGCAATATGTGTCATGATGTGTCATGTATATAATACACAAGAAACAACCAGAAGCCAAAACACAGAAACACAAACACTCCAAAATACTGAAACACGACCCAATAGGGGCTCGCCCCGCCCGCGAAAAGGCGCACGCTCGGTCGGACCAAGGGTCTTCTTGTACGGCTACCGAAGGCGTCTTGCCCCCCCGCGACGCGCCGCGACGGGCGGCCTTCGTGGCATCGGGGGCGAGGTCGGGGAGACCCGGCTCAGTCTGTGGCGATGCTGAACGGGAAGGAGGAGGTGAAATACAGAGTGAAGGTCAGTAGGTTGGGGATTTGTAGAAGCCAATAGACCCTGATGTAGCCACACAAAGCCCCCACGGTTTTGTTCCAGTTCAGCATACATCACATTCAATCTTATTGATATATATATATATATATACACACTCCATGCAAGCTTCACCCTCCCTCCCGCCAGCATCTACCTTCAGGTGCTTCAAGCTTCTGGAGGATCAGTTGTCCAAGCTCTTCCCGTCGCATCCCGCGCCTCACTCACTGGAGGAGCCACTGGTGAGCGAGGCGTCGGGCGAGGGCGGCGCGTCCGGCAGGAGTTGGCTCCAGCGGGGCGTCTTGGCGGGATTGTCTTGGCTTGGAAGAAAGGACAGTCCAAAACCATGGTCTTGGAGTTTCTGAAACAAGGTGGGTGTTGTGACAGTAATGTTGCCGGTATTTGTCAATTGGAGGTTCTCAGGATATTTTTTGTTCAGGAGTAACTAAGCAATCCACCCCGTTGTGTTCTCTTCATGCGCGTGGGGTAGTTGGGCACGGACCCAGAGGCGCCGGATGTTTTTGTGTTCCAAGAGCATCGGTGTTCGGGTGAACACCAAGAGAGCCGAGGTTTGGAGTGCTTATTGGCCCTCTTTCACTACTACACGCTGCTTTATGTGGCTTGGTCTTGAGGTGTTCCGAAGAGGGGGAGCAAGACCAACGGATGAGGAACTGGCAGATCTCTTGGGATGAACGACCTTGGCGCATTTGAAGGGGAAGTGATCGGGTCCTCGTGCAGACGTGCTGTCCATGCTGAGGAGGTCCATGTGGTGTGGCCTTTGGGGACGGAGACAGTAGTATGGCCAGGAGCTACTAGTAGCTTCTTAGTTGCTTTATTTCGGGGGGTCTCCTTTGTGAAGCTGCTTTACTTTGGGGATTTGACGGATGAGGACCAGGGAGCCCCCCGGAAGAGAAGAGTTCACGGTCTCGTCCTGGGCGCGCTGTCCTGCGTTCGCGCAACGGACATCTGATGTGGACCCGAGCTAGAGTCCTCGACCAGACGAACACTGAGGTGGTTTGTGGATATTTGATCTGGGATGAGTACAAGAGCTCCTTTCGCTTGCCACTTCTTGGCAGATGCGTTCTTCTTTTTTGCAAGTTGGGAACCCCGAGGCCCGGATCATAACGGGAAAGCAAAGCAACTGCTCGACCCACCTACAGGTCTTGGGAAGTTTGGACAGGATGCTTGTGGAGCTTACAATAAATATATATATATATATACCTAGAACTCATTTGACCTTTGTTTTGATAGGAAAAGACCATGTTTTGGCTCCAAAACAGGGGCCAATCAGGCTCTAGGTATATATACCCCCGGCTCCTGGACCCTGGATAAATCCAGGCTTCCCAACATTGCTGGGCAAAACCTGCCTTTGTACCATTCTCACATTCTGATGTATCACACTCTATGATCAGCACCTTCCAAAGATATCCCACAGTACATGAACCACAAAAGAAACATTCATGCGCGATTCATGCATATAAATTCACTCGCACCGCACATGCACCCACACCCTCCGACACACACACACACAAAGCATATTTGTCACTCTCTGAGAAGGTATGGTGAAGAAGCTGAAGCTAGGCTCGAATCACCATCTTAGACTCTGCCCACGCAACAAACGCAGCGGCTCGGTAGCGTTGAAAAGTGCGTTTCATAGCAAAAGAAGAACTCACATTGGTCACATGACGCACCAGGCGGCAAGTCTTGCCAACTAGATCTTCCTCCAATTGGACACCCATCGCGAGTGGATTCAGAATCTCACTTGCAAGGTCAGCTTCCCACAACATAGTCTTGAACACGTGCATTAGCATGTGTCCCTTCGGATTCAGCAGGAACAACATCCGATTCTCCTCACGGCTTTGCTTAGCTAGTTCCATGAACAGCTCCAAATACTTGAAGCCAAGGTTGGCAATCACATAAGCTTCACCCCTTGGCACCCACAATGGTGCCAAATAAAGCTTGGAGAAGCAATCGTTTATCGCCGCAGCAGCGTCAGCCTTACAGGCCACATGGAAAAACTTTATGGGATCACAGAGAAGCCTACTCCACCCCTCGACCCCCTACGCAAAAAGGAATCATGCCAGGCAGCCAGCTTCATATGCAAAGATCCTTCTGCAAAAGTATTTCTCTTTGATCTGAAAAAGTACGCAACCCACTTCACTAGGCTGGTAGTGAGGTTTCCTTTCGTCCAGCTGCCAGTCGGGTAATCGTTCTTGTTCAAACTAAAAAGTTCTTTGGTAAAACGCAGTGCATACACCTGGTTGGAATTCCTCTTGCAATATTGCTTGTAGTCCAGGTAAAGCAGGTTCAATTGCTGGTCAACCGAATCACCATCAACGAAGTCAAGCATGAGCTGGACAGCGTTGGCCACTAAGTTGCGACCCTCGCCCAGGTGAAAGCTGTGCCAGGGGTCAATGGCGAAGAACGTTTCCGAGAAGGACTCGTCGTGAGGGCACCTGAGGATCTCAGGGCGTAGTTGCCAAGGCTCTTCCTCTTGCACTGAAAACTGCCAGACACCATTTTTACTGTAATCCTCGAATGGGATGCGGGGCCTCCCCGCAAGGCATAAATGACATATTCCTGTGCAGTCCTTCTTGCTGGATGCCTGCTTAGGCATGTTCCGGAAGCTCCTTGTCAGTCTTCCGATCTTACAAAGATAGGGCCAGTCCCCCTTTGTGTAGAGGCTCACACACCAATACTGCAAACCGTCAGGGCCTTTCAAGCCATCCTCCGCCAAAGAGCAAATGTCCTTTGAAATGATTTCCACAAGTCGGTAGAACGAATCTGGGTGCAGGTCATATACCGCCTTTGGAAGCATTGCAAGCAGTAGCCTGGACGCATATGTGTTCCCAGTGTAGTTCATCTGTTGTTCTTTGCCACGGTGAAGCAATTTGCGTTTCCGATTTCTGGTCTCCACGCCATACCCTAGGATGGGGTGGGCATTCATGCACAGGACAGCATTTCGCTTCCTGCCACGCCCCTCGTCCCCGTGCAGTAACAAAGGCAGAACGCGGCTCAGCACCAGGCCCTTTTCCCGTTCAAGGGCAAACACTGTGTGGTTGGGTCTAAGAACCCTGAAGCGCTCCCAGAATAAACTCAGCTGGTCACATGCTGTTTCTCTCCTGGTTGCCCCGCAGAAATGGTGCCAAGCTCCGAACTTCCTTGCTTGCTACAGCAGAATCTATATTTGCAAATGGCCCCAACACGCCAAACACAAACACATGAATGACATGAACAGACTTTGGCGACTTTGCAAGACAGAACAATTTTTCTAGCAAGGGCCAGTTTCAGAATCAGATCCATCCAGCTGCTGAGAAGAAACACAGGGTACTTCTCATTGCCATCATGAAGCTCAACCATGGTCATGGGAAGTTGGGAAGTTCCAAGGCAAGACCATATTGGTCAATGAGCTTGTGGCAGCTCTCTTCTGCATGCCCTTCTGACTTTTCTGCCAAAGCGGCCGTGCTTGAAGCAATGTGTTGGCCTGCCTCCTTGGCAGCGGCTTTGGCACTGCGGACGGCAGCAGCGCAAGAGGCCTTGGCATCAACTTGCAACGGCAAATCTTGGCCAAGAGCCTCAAAAACAAATCCCTGAGTGCTCCATCACATCAAGGCTTCAACTACACATGCACCTGGTGACTTGCAGTGCGTTTTCATCTTCGGACGCGATGTCACAGCTGCAGCATCTCAGACCATTGTCAAGGCCACAGCTAGGCTATGCCGAGCACAGTAAATCTATCAATCTCGGATCGTCTGACGCCGTTTCATCGGGAAGGAACATGGGAGTATCACAGGGCCTTCAAACATGAAGTACATCACACAGAGTATCACAGGGCATCAGGTGGACCCGCCCTCAGGATCAAAACGGCCGGTCGATGAAGCTGACGTGTCACGGCCTGGTCAGTCCAGGGAGGCAACTACCAAATCAAATTCGTCAGGGAAAAGAAGGAATGCAAAGGAAGGAATCACTTTTGGCAGCGTGCCTTCCTCTTCAAGCAGACCATGCAAGAGCGGATCGTATGGAGCAGGTCCGAACACACGCGGAGCAGCTTCGATTGCGAGGTTGTTGAACGGCGCCTAGCCAGCGACAGCGAGACTTAGACATGAAACGTACACACACACACATGCTTGCACACACACACACACACACGCACACAAACACCTTTATCGGTGCATGACATCACTATCGTTTATTCATGCACACCCTTCGAATCACTTGGGCATGCGAGGCACAAAGTGACGGAGTCTCTGTCCCGGGCGCTCTCGAGCAGGTGAATCAGCACGAGCAGGTGGTTCAACCACGCAAATCGCATCAGCCCTCAACATTCCTGCCAAAACAAATAGTCGACACAGAACCCACCAACTGTTGACTATGGTTGGTTTGTCTTTCAAAGCGTTTTGAGAACATAGCACCATAGCATTTGTTCGATGCAATGGCCTTCTAGAATCTTGTCTGTCTGGGTCTTAGCTCCATGATTGGACGGAGGGTCGAGAGATGCGGCGGGCCTTTTCATGTCGGCTTTTGTAAGCAGATTAAGAACAGGCAACCTTTTGTTCGAGCCTCTTTGCTCACACCAATGCATACATTCTCGCAATGTCCCGCAATGACATGCAGTGGGCACTTGACCTTGATTTATGGGGTTGGTTGAGCTCCAAATGTTTTTGGCCAAGGCGGTGCCAAGACTCTCTTTTGTGGATGAGACTTGGGAGGCGCGCAGGGTGCGATTCACGCCATCCACATGCGCTATCTCTAACCACACTGGACAGTGCCAGAAAACTTCATCACCTTGTGTCCAATTAACACAAGTGTTCGAATTCATACCCCGGAGGTTAATTACATCTTTTTGATTGGGGGTGGGTTCTTCAAGCACCTGTACACCATGTAGGTAAAGAAAGGCCCATCATCAGAGGCATAGTCCGGATGGTCAGTCGAATCTCCACCCATGCGGATGTTCCGGCAACCAGGTCTTCCTTATCCATGCAGACAACAGGGGCGAACACCATCTACCTAAAGTCAACCTGAATGACAACAAACAGGAACACTTACTAGCCAAATTTAAGCTGACTTCCACTGTGCAGATTGATGAGGAAGGCTTCCATGAGCGCAGCACCAGTGGTGGTTGAAGACATGTACAGCCCAATCATTTTGTGGTATTTGTCGAGGCTATGATGGTACCCGTACAAATTGTTGTGCCATCTCCAACTCAAGCAGTGAGTAAACCCAAATTTGAAAGTACATGGGTATTCTTTCCTCAACAAGCAGCTAACCTTATTAAGGCAGTGTCCCAAAGCGGAACCTGCAGTTGCATCCGGTTTGGGAAAGCAGGTGTCAATGAACAGATCCCCTTCAAGCTTTCCCAAGCATTCCTCTAACCGCGGCATAGAGCGGACAGATTCTGGGACAAGTTCTCCAAACCTCAAGTTCGGAGTCGGTGTTGGCCTGGATGAGACTGCGCACGGTGGCAGGCCACACGATGGACATGATGGAGCAAAGCAGCGCTGATCAGGAGCGGCCTTCCGACACAGGGGGCTGTGGGCTGGAGGATGATGGGTTGACAAGCTTCATGTTTGTTTTACTGCACGTGACTCTGCACGTGCCAAGCCTCAATTGCAGATTTGTGGCATGAAAGAAGTTCTTCTAGCCACTCTTCGTCAGAGTCGGGATGGGACATGAGGGCAACTCGGCAGTTGTGGACTCTCTTTATAAATGCCTTTGAAAGGATCTGCAAGTGTAGTGTGTGATACTGGGTTGTTCTAGCTTTCACAAACAACAAGCGCATGCCACGTAATTGTTTTTTACAATCTCGAGCTCAATGTATGGGCTCTTGAGGTAGAAACACCAATAGCACTGCGCAAAAGAATGCTTGCAACTTGCAAGGTTTTTTTCAAGCATACGTCTACACACCCAAAGGTTGCTTTCGAAATGGAACCCAATGTCATGTTGCTGACAGAAGTCTCTTGGTTTTGGAAAACCTTCGTTTTGCAGATCTCTCAGGCATTAGCCCCGGTCCCCACTTCAGAGGCAAGCTCACGTAGGATAGGGCCAGCACCTGGCAAGATTA